CTTTGGCGTGACGAGCGAACGCTAAGGCTAAACGATCGCCCCGAGTGAGTGAGTGAGTTTTTCAGAAACGCTTAAGTAATATGATGCTGATTGACCAAGAATCCACTGGGGTGAATCTTCCCCCGACCCCACGGCCAGGGAACTGTACAGCGAGAACGTATACACTCTGCCTTTTGGTACTGAGGCATCTCTCAGCCTCAGCCTCAGCCTCAGCCTCGCTGCCCTCCTGCCACCGAAGTGATAAAAATCAGCGATCTACCTCACTTACACTGTAAAAAAAGTGTTTACATCCTAAACTCAAACCTAAGCACGTTCCTTGTCCCATACTTTTGACGCGTTTAGGGTCTTAACGTGTTTAGGACAGGTGCCGATTTTATAGTGCTAGCCCACTGAGAGACCTTGCCGCAAGCCCACTGAGATACCTTGCCGCTAGCCCACTGAGAGACCTTGCCGCTAGCCCACTGGGATAACATGAATACATCAATCTCAGACATGTTTACTGACTCTGAGGCGACCAGTCCTTGTTTTAGCCCTTTAATGCCGACAAATACTATCTTTTAACGTCTTTTGGTATGACGCGGCCGGGGATTGAACCCCGGACCTTCCACTCCCCGGGCGGACGCTCTACCACTAGGCCACGGAGGCGGTCCAAACATGTTTAGGTTTGCGTTTAACAGCTTAACGTGTTTAGGATCTAAGCGTTGGATATATCTTTATATCTTACTTATATCATACATCTTATCCATAGTTGAATTAATGCCCCTTGATATGTACTGTATTTAAATGTGTTTAGATTATTAGGATAATACATAATGTTATCGTAACCATGTTATAATTCTAAACACATTCCTAAACATGTTTTGATCTAACAAGTCTTGTATGTCCCTACATTCTAAACACGTTTTTTCACAATGTGGAGCTGCCATTCATTCCGGTGGTGGGGGGGGGGGGGGGGGGGGGGGGGGGGGGGGGGGGGTGCTCACCCCCCTCCACCCCCCGTTCTTGTTTAAAGTACTAGTGCACTAATCATGTTACCTATAAGTAACATAGCAACAAGGATATTAAAGTCCACGTGTCTGTCACGTGATCTTTTCAAATTACGAAAATATTTCATTTCATATTCTACCCCTGTAATAATCCCCCTATCTCCCTAATCACACTCACGGTTAAACCACCCAGTCAACCGTAACGACAACGCCTGGGTCACGCAATGTGGTTACGCGTCGAGTTACGTCTGCTTCGTAGGTGTGGTGCATTCTGGGATACTCTGATACCGCCAGTGCGCGTCACCGTGAAATCTTACCCAAGGTACGTGGGCTGAGGGATTATGAAGAATAACATGTAAAATGACGTTTTGACTCAGTGGCAGTACGAGGATAGTATAGTACTCAGGAAAATAAACACTCCAGGCTTATGTCTGTATGGGGATTTGAGGCTTTACAAGGTGATGGGGACTGGTACAAAAGTGTCATTAGTCCCAGTTACATTGCGTGTGGGACAGCTTCTGTTATACGCGAGTCTCATCTATTCTCATTGTAGTAATTTCCAAGGAATGCAGTTGATCTCTTGGGCCGAATAACCGCATTCCATAATCTTAAACGTGTGTGGACAACGAAACCTTTTCAACCAACGACATCAGGGAGTTTCGAAATTATGGTGTGTGTTGATAGCTATATATCACCTGGAATGTATGTATATGTTTGAAATATAGTGCGCGCTCGATAGTTCGTACGTACGTACGTGTGTGCGTGCGTGTTTGTAATAAAAGATTGTCTCAGAATTATTTGTCAGCAGTCACAGACAGACATCTGCTGTAGTAGTCCAGACAGAATCTTGGTAATAATGGCCATTATATATAAAGGAACTATATCTGTACCACCCAGTGACGTTTACGGTATTGATTGGACTTAGAGTGTTGTGCTAGATCAGTAGAATCTATATAAATACAACAGTATAAACGTATGTATCACATGCAACAGTATATACGTGTTCATCAAATACAACAATATATACGTATTTATCACATGCAACAATATATACGTATTTATCATATGCAACTGTATGTACCTGTTTATGAAATACACCAGTATATACGTATCTTCGCGAGTCAAGGGTGTACTGACTATAAAAGTCAAGTTTCCAACCTTGCCTGACTTGGCTGCAATAATGAAGTAAACTTTTGGCTGGACTAACGAGTCTATGCATAGTCCAATCAAAATCGCGTAACAAAATCGACAACCGGTTCGTAAAATTTCAGGATTTGCAAAGCAGGTGTACCGCCAACTCGACGTCAACAGAATTTTTCCAAATATTTTCATGTTTTTAATAAAGGTGTTCACGTGATTTGGTGGACTTTGCGAAGAAAGACCCGTTTTATTACAATACAGATCCACTTGGCACCGCCATTTTGTTTGATTTGATTGATTCATTGTTGTTTAACGCCGCATTCAGCAGTCTGTCAAAAGAGGCGACTAACGGGATCGGGTGGTCAGGCTCGCTGACTTGCTTGATGCATGTCATCGTATCCCAATTGCGTGGATCGATGCTCATGATGTCAACCACTGGATTGTCTGGTCCAGACTCGATTATTTTTCAGACAGCTGGAATATTGCTGAGTGCGGCGTTAAATGACAAACAAACAAACAATTATCACATGCGACAGTATAAACACGTCGATCACATACAATAGAATATACTTTTATATATCATACAACAGTATGTACGTGTTTATCACGTACATCAGTATCAACTGTCATTACGTGTTTATCTAACACTGCAAAAATATCAAACAAATGTCTATTGAAACATATTCTACTCAGGTAAAGTTACCAAATTCCACCTGATCCGCAATGGCTAAAACAGCATCAATACTAATTTGGTTATAACCAAAATATTTGATGACAACCTCAGAATGGTTTCATAATGTGATCTTGTGAGATTGTGAGTTACGTCGCCAATACCCTCACGCACACAGATGGTTAAAATGACGTCATAACGTTATCTGATAGGTCGAGTTTCCCCGTGACGTCACCACGCAGATCGAGTTGCTTGTGTGTCAGCGTGACTGGCCGCGAAGATTCAGGGCCTAAACTCGTGGTTTATGTTTCTTTCCGAATGTACGTATAAATAACACTTGGCAAGGGTATCTGGTGGTAAACAAGAGAAAAGTAAATCAGACGTATAGAGATCCGAGACGCCCTTCTACCGATAAATATAGCCGATAACGCGGCCCAAACCATCTTCCGTTATCCATCTCCATACCACTGTGCTAAATACCCCGGGCCCATGCAGTACCAAAGCTTCGTTTTGAGCCCAGTTAGTTTGTTTGTTGTTTAACGCCGCACTCAGCAATATTCCAGCTTTATGACAGGGGTCTGTAAATAATCGAATCTGGACCAGACAATCCAGTGATTGACATCACGAGCATCGATCTACGCAATTGGGATACGATGACATGCATCAACCAAGTCAGCCAGCCTGACTACCCGATCCCGTTGGTCGCCTCTTACGCCCACCATAGTCCCCCTTTACGGCAAGCATTGGTTGCTGAAGACCTATTCTACCCCGGATCTTCACGGGTAGGTAAATTCTCAGAGGAATATCCCTGCACTTATCACCAAAAATTGTGACGTGCTGAAATCAGGTTTTGTAAAGCCACATAACTAATGAAAATAATGAAAATGAGAAGTTGATTGTCGTGTTGTTATTAATTGAAAATCAAATTTCTTTATACAAAAGGTATCACTAGAGTATGCACGAGTGAAATATGTTTTAACACTGTTCAGTTCAGCAAAACCATGAAACCAATATTCCTGGACAATTTGAGGGTTTTTCAAAGCAAATAAAAACTAAATATTTGCCCAAGTTATGATAAGATGTCTTAACGGTTTTGAAGCTATGCTTCGGAAACAAGAGACGCATTTCAAACGTTTCAGACATAATCTCTGTACACTGATCGCGATTTGCCATCGGTTTTGAAAGGTAAATTGCGAATTTCCGTTTTTTGAATTTTGCGACATTATGAATAGTTTGTTTTATAGAAACACAATGTTTTGATGATTTATTTTGCAAATGTGATAATCACATATAACATCTGACAGTTTATTTTAAAATCTGCGTTTTCAATTTGAACTCTAGGCTCAATTAGACGTGCTATTTGAGCATGAAACAAGTATTAGATTTTTACGAGTCTTTGAATATTTACAGGTGTCTCAGAACGTCCATGACAACCGGCTTTTCTTTCTGCTCTCATTTTCGCAATATTTGAGCTGTTGTTTGTTTGTGTGTTTGTTTGTTCCCGTTAAGATAGTTGAAATTCTATGGAGCAAAGATAGGGTTTTTAAACTTAATTTCAAGGTGATGTTTCACATTGTATTTGTCAAGCTCTGTCTAGCGAGGCAGTCTGGTCAAAAACAGTTGGCGTCGTCAAAGATTAAAACCAGTGACTGGACCGCGTGACTGGTGCGACCGCTGCGTCGATAACTCGACACCGAAGCTGCTGTAGTGCAACGACATTAACGACAGTACCTGGCGCCTAGGTTAATGCGTAAGTTTAGAAACAACGACTGTTTTATGCACACTGTTCCGTCAGAAGTTTTCAATTCAAACGACACGCCCCACTAAATGATAAAAAGTAAGCGGTCGATTATTGATTAACTGATAAAGAAATTATAGCTGTATTGACAACACGCGAGGTCAGTCTTGTGGAGGTGTTCATGGAAACTCAAGCGAAAACGCCCCTGACATGTTTCCTCCAACAACCGGAACTAGATGGTCCACGTGACTTTGCCGCTCAGTCTAAGTCAAGGTTAAGCCAAGATGGGATACAAGGTTTGGAGACAGTGATGAAAATGATGACAGTGACGATAACAATGACAATGGGGACAATAATGATAACGGTGACAATGATTATAGCGTAGACAATGGGGACAATGATTATAACGATGACAATGGGGGACAATAATTATTACGATGACAATGGGGACGAAATTATTACGAAGACAATGGGGACAATGACGATAACGGTGACAATGGGGACAAAGATTATAACGATGACAATGGGGACAAAGATTATAACGATGACAATGGGGACAATGATTATAACGATGACAATGGGGACAATGATGATAACGATGACAATGGGGACAAAGATTATAACGATGACAATGGGGACAATGATTATAACGATGACAATGGGGACAATGATGATAACGATGACAATGGGGACAATGATGATAACGATGACAATGGGGACAAAGATTATAACGATGACAATGGGGACAATGGTTATAACGATGACAATGGGGACTGATTATAACGATGACAATGTGGACAAAGTCTATCACGATGACAATGGGGACAATGATGATAACGATGACAATGGGGACAATGGTTATAACGATGACAATGGGGACTGATTATAACGATGACAATGTGGACAAAGTCTGTTACGATGACAATGGGGACAATGATGATAACGATGACAATGGTGATAACAGTGACAATGATCACAATGGTTATAACGAATGCAATGGGGACAATGATGATAAGGTCGACAATGCATATAACGATGACAATTGTGATAACAGTGACAATGAATATCGGTGACAATGGGGACAATGATAAGGATGACAATGGTGATAAGGTCGACAATGCTTATAACGATGGCAATTGTGATAATAGTGACAATGCTTTAAACAGTGACAATGAATAGATCGGTGACAATGGTGATAAGGAAGACAATGGGGACAATGATAAGAATGGCAATGATGATAAGGTCGACAATGCTTACTACGATGACAACTGTGATAACAGTGACAATGAATATATCGGTTACAATGATGATAAGGATGACAATGATGATAAGGATGGCAATAGTGATAAGGTCGACAATGCTTATAACGACGACAATGGTGACAATGATGATAACGCTGACAAAGATAATAACGTTGACAATGGTGACAGTGATGACAAGGATGATGACTGACAATGGTGATAATGTGGTGATTGATGTGGTATGAACGATGCTATTGAAAACGTTGATGGTGACTATGGTAATGGCGATGGAATTAATGTTTTGATATACATCTGCCAGAAGGACGCGTGTGAATCAGAACGAATCAGTATGCCATTCAACACCTTTATTAATATGATTAATCAATAGCCTGTTGTTTCGACAGGCCTTGACAGACAATTGCTGTTCTCCAGGTAAGCGTAGGAAGTGTTGACAAGCGTAACGTGCTTCCACGTAACCATGACGACGGCATGCATGGCTCTGTACTGAATTGATTATCTCCCCCTTGGTGAATATATGCAAATGTTACAACTATCAGGATGATGTATAATTCTTTATCAGCACGAACAGCAGGAAACAATGGCATGGATCACGGACTAATTTGATCACGGGGCGATACTGACCGGTTGAGCAACTATTGCGTGTTTGGTTAATACCGTACAGCCTCTAAAATAGCGCTAGTGATTATTGAATAGAACTGACATTGACATTTCAGCCGCAGTTTTAGCATGAATATCCAACTTAGACACAGTATACCGACTCCGAGCCGACCAGCCCTGGTTTTATCCCCTTAATACCGATCGCCAGGAGAGTAACAAGTACCATCTTTAAACGTCTTGTGGCATAACGCGGCCGAGGATCGAACCCCCGACCTTCCATTTCCGGGCAGACGCACTGTTCACTAAACCACGAAGGCAGTCAAAAACACTTTTAATCTGTATGAGTTTGGGTCACGCTTCCACGTTCAGCAGAGACGCTGTAATATATAACTGATATAGTGCTCAAAATTGTGTCAAACCCAATCCACTCACTCACTCACACAGACTTCCTATACGAACGCATTATTGAGTACCTGTGAAGGGCAAATTCGTTATAATTCTGAAAAGACGAATCGGACAAATCAAATTCCGACTTTTCCTCGACCCCCGTCCACCCCTGTTAATCAGACGGACTAAAAATATATATTTATTCTATACCCCTCTCGGGGGCACGGGTCGTCTATGGCGCCGCGATTCGCTGTACAGAGTTGCGTCCTTTGGGCGCGCCAGAAACCTACGATTGTGGGTTCGAATCCCGGTTCACCCCGATTATGTTTCTAGGTTTGTCTGCACCATACTGGTGCTAGTGGGTTTCACCGAAGTGGTAAACGTCTGAGACCTGCAGTTCGCTCGTCACGCCGAAGACCTGGGTTCGATTCCCGACATGGGTACAATGTGTGAAGCCCATTTCTGGTGTCCCCCGCCGTGATATTGCTGGAATATTGCTAAAAGCGGCGTAAAACCATACTCACTCACTCACTCTGAGACCTGCATCACTTCGGGCTTTCCTCTCACATTAAGCTGACACGCTGCGATATAACTGTAATACTGTTAAAAGCGGCGTTAAACCCAACTCACTCACTAAACCCCTCTCTCCCAGACCCCTTGGGATTCCGCAGGAGACGACTAAATGGATCGGATGGTCAGACTCCGTGAATTGGTCGATTCCCATCATATCTGAATTTCTGATGTTTCTGTTCTGTTCTGTTCTGTCTCTATGTTTCATCACTGTACAAGAGTGTGGCGGGTGCCATGTGCTTACTCTCCGCATGTGAGTGAGTGAGAGTTATCTCCCCTAGATTGCCTTTGATTGAGGCCCAATTAAAGATGGGGCCCATTTAGGGTTTAGCTTTTCCACAGTCTATGCTCATGATGTCAATGACAGGATAATCCGGACTAGACTCGATTATTTACAGACCGAAGTCATCTTGATGGATTATACACTTTCGAAAACAACAAAGCGGATCTGATGGAAAAAATGCGGAGTTTGGGTTGAATAACAAACATGATAATGTCACTTTAGAAAAGTCTAGTGACAGAACGAATGCCCCACCTGGGCGCACGGGTTGCCCAGTTGGGCACACCTAAAACTTATGATCGTGGTTTCGAATCCCTGTTCGCCCCAATTACTTTTCTGGCTTTGTCTGCATCATACCCGTGCTCGTTGGTTTCACCAAAGTGGTAAATGTTTGAGACCTGCATCACTTTGGTCTTTCCTCCTACATTAAGCTGACACGCCGTGATGTAACTGGAATATTGTTAAAAGCGGCGTTAAACCCAAATGACTCACTCACTTACTCACATCTGCCCCAAAGTTCACTGACCTCACCGGTAAGACACCTGTACTTCCATCGGTAGCCTAGTGGTTAAAGCGTTCGCTCGTCACGCCGAAGACCCGGGTTCGATTCCCGACATGGGTACAATGTGTGAAAAGCCCATTTCTGGTGTCCCCCGCCGCGATATTGCTGGAATATTGCTAAAAGCGGCGTAAAAACCACACTCACTCACTCACTCACTCACTCACTCACTCACTCCGTTGGTCGCGTAAAATGCTAAAAGGTCGTTTGCATTGTCAGTTCTGTTATGGGGATGATTAGAACTGGGTTGCACCACAATAACCTACTCTCAATACTAAAAGACCCGTGAAGATCCGGGGTATAGAATAGGTCTTGAGCAACCTTGGCTTGCCGTAAAAGACGACTATGCTTGTCGTACTAGCCGACCTACGAGATCGGGTAGTCAGACTCGCTGACTTGGTTGATGCATGTCAACGTATCCCAATTTCGTAGATCGATGCTCATGATGTCAATCACTGGATCGTCTGGGCAGACTCGATCTTTTACAGACCACCGTCATTTAGCTGGAATATTGCTGAGTGTTGCGTTAAACAACAAACAAACAATATTACAATTACAGTTTAGATTCTACCTCTTCGTGAAGACGTTTGCCGATCATTCACGTTAGCTCCTGACACGTGGATAAATGAGCGAGTCTGACTGTCACAGGAGATGTCCGAGTTCATGAAGGTCACTGTCTGGTCCTGTCTGAAATGTACGTATACGGTAATCGTAATGGGATTTAATTACGTGGTCTGCACGTGTTGGTGTCGTCCCCGTGCTGTGGGGACGTCACGGCGTTGCACAGACTGTGGCTGTCGTGAAGGAGATTAATTGAATACAGCGGCCTTTCAATAGATATTATTGAATATGGAAATAAATGGATATTTCTGGGTAATACAACACTGTTAACGGACATGCCGACCCGATGAAGCATATCATGTCATTCCAGATTGTATAGGAATTAGTTAGCGAGGAATATATTTCCGACTTGTTATGAAGGGCGTTGTAATCATCACAGTGATATTGACTTGGTGTGGGGGAAACAGTCTGGGCTAAACCTATCAGCGAGACAAATCCTGCAATAACACCCACTTTAAACCCATCAAATATATCGATGCTGATACCATGTGAAGGCAGAAACATGTTGTTTTCGTTCTTGGCATAATATCCAACATCGATCAATTCCTCGTTTTGTCGTCAGAATAACAGTAAAGCCTCGTCAATCCGGAATCTATACATCGATGCTTATTACTGTAACATCTTATTTACATTGATCTTCATAACTTGAGTGAGTATGATTTTACGCCGCGTTAAGCCGTATTCCAGTAATATCGCGGGAGTGAATGGAGCTTCACACAGTGTACCCTTGTGGGAATCGAACCCAAGACTTCGGTGCGACGAGTGAACGCCTTAACCACTATCTCAACGCCCTGTTGAAATGCAGAGGCTATCTTTGTGTTTAAGAACACGGCGATGACGATTCAATATGGCAGCGCCTACCTAACCCATTTTAACTTGCCAACATTATTAAACTTATTTAAACTCTGGGTTTGACTGGGTTAAATGACTTGAAACATGTATCGCATGCTGGGGACAAATTATACACCTAAACGAGAACTGTATGCCAGTGTGATTTCGGTGCAAACAAGTCGCCATGTTTCTGCCAAACTGTCCTGTCGGTCACAGACCGGGCATCGCTGTCTTCAAGCTGCTTCTGCTGCTGCTGCTGCTCCCCATCTGGCTCTCTGACGGCAGGCATTGTGACGTCATAGTGTATACGTTCTGAGGTCACTGACCTAAGTTGATGTCACAATGACCGCAGTAATCGCGTGCATGGCTTAGATGCTCCGTGAACACATATTGCTGACGATAATGACAACATTATTCGCAACCTAGACTAACATCTAGTCTCTGAAATGAATATATTTTTTTTTTAAACCAGTTGGTTTTAATTATAGTTATAAAATATAATAAAAAGGAGCCCAGAGACTTTCTTCATTTCCTGATACTGCAGTAATCTAGACTTGCCAAACATAATAGACTTGCATGGGCTATATTGGATATATTTGTTTCAGGGTGTTATGACAGACTTTTCGCAACCGTATTCGCTGTCTCCTTGGCGAGGTCACACGTGCCACACGTGCCACACGTGCCACACGTGTGGAGTATGGCATGCTACATCCAGGGGGCGCTACATGGTGTAGCGGGTGGATACATGCGTGGATGGGTAAAGCTTGTTTTACACCGCCATCTGTGATATATCTTCGTAACGGCGGCCTGTAAATTCAGTTCTGACCAATGCAGACTAGTGGTTGATTGCGGAAATGGTTCTTAATGAAAAGGACGAGTAGCTGCTGCTATTTAATTATTTTGTACTCGGGTGTAAAGAGGAAAGTAACGTGAGGAGGATTGTGTGTAGGTTCACGTGTCATGTCAGATGATTCAGTAGGTTTCACACGTCATATTACATGATTAAATAGATTTGACATGTCGTGTCAGATGATTCAGTAGGTTTCACACGTCATATTACATGATATTCACACGTCATGAATAGGTAGATTTCACATATGTCAGATAATTCAGTTGGTTTCACACGTCATATTACATGATTAAATAGATTTGACATGTCGTGTCAGATGATTCAGTAGGTTTCACACGTCATATTACATGATATTCACACGTCATGAATAGGTAGATTTCACATATGTCAGATAATTCAGTTGGTTTCACACGTCATATTACATTATTAAATAGATTTGACATGTCGTGTCAGATGATTCAGTAGGTTTCACACGTCATATTACATGATATTCAC